TATGGGGCGCTATGGGGTGGCTATGGGGCGGCCATGGGGCTGCGATGCGGCACTATGGGGCGGCTATGGGACACTATGGGGCTGCTATAGCGTGGCTATGGGGTGGCAATGGGGCGGCTATGGGGTGCTATAGGGCGGCTATGGGGTGGCTATGGGGTTTCTATGGGGTTCTATAGGGTGGCTATGGGGTTTCTATAGGGTGGCTATGGGGCGGCTATGGGGCACTATATGGTGGCTATGGGGCGGCTATGAGTGGCTATGGGGCAGCTATGCGGTGGCTATGGGGCCCTATAGGGTCACTATGGGGTGGCTATGGGGCACTATAGGGTGGCTATGGGGTGGCTATGGGTTTCTATGGGGCACTATGGGGTTTCTATGGGGTGCTATAGGGTGGCTATGGGGCGGCTATGGGGCGCTATAGGGCTGCTATGGGGTGCTATAGGGTGGCTATGGGGCGCTATGGGGTGGCTATGGGGCCGCTATGGGGTGGCTATGGGACGCTATAGGGCAGCTATTGGGTGCTATAGGGTGGCTATGGGGCCGCGATGGGGTGGCTATGGGACGCTATAGGGACGCTATGGGGCTGCTATGGGCCACTATGGGGCGGCTATGGGGCACTATAGGGTGGCTATGGGGTTTCTATGAGGCTCTATGGGTCACTATGGGGTTTCTATGGGGCAGCTATGGGGCGGCTATGGGGCGGCTATGAGACACTATAGGGCCGCTATGGGGCGGCTATGGGGCGGATATGGGGTGCTATAGGGTGGCTATGGGGTGCCTATAGGGCGGCTATGCGGCTGCTATGTGACGCTATAGGGACGCTATGGGGCAGCTATGGGGCACTATGGGGCGGCTATAGGGTGGTTATAGGGTGGCTATGGCACGCTATGGGGCAGCTATGGGGCACAATGGTGTCACTATAGGGTGGCTATGGGGCAGCTATGGGGCGGATATGGGGAGCTATAGGGTGGCTATGGGGCTGCTATGGGACGCTATAGGGACGCTATGGGGTGGCTATGGGGCCGCTATGGGGCGGTTATGGGGTGCTATAGGGTGGCTATGGGGCGGCTATGAGTGGCTATGGGGCCGCTATGGGGCGCTGTAGGGTCGCTATGGGATTTCTATGGGGCACTATAGGGTGGCTATGGGGTTTCTATGGGGTTCTATAGTGCACTATGGGGTTTCTATGGGGCAGCTATGGGGCGCTATAGGGTGGCTATGGGGCGGCTATGGGGTCACTCTGGGGTGGCTGTAGGACGCTATGCGGTGGCTATGGGGCAGCTATGGGGCGGCTATGGGGCACTATGGGACACTATAGGATCGCTATGGGGTGGCTATGGGGCCGCTATGGGGCAGCTATGGGGCGCTATAGGGTGGCTATGGGGCGGCTATGGGGCGGCTGTGGGGCCCTATAAGGAGCGGCTGTTCCCATGCTGACCTTTCCCCGATCCCAAAATATAACGGGAACGGCCGCCACACCGCCCCTCCCCCACCCCATAAATCTATGGGGTCAGCTCAGCCCCACACATCTATGGGGCAGCTCCGCCCCACACATCTATGGGGCAGCTCAGCCCCACACATTTTGGGGTCAGCTCAGCCCCACACATTTGTAGGGTCAGCTCAGCCCCACACATCTATGGGGTCAGCTCAGCCCCACACATTTATAGGGTCAGCTCTGCCCCACACATTTTGGGGTCAGCTCTGCCCCACACATTTATAGGGTCAGCTCAGCCCCACACATTTTTGGGTTCAGCTCGGCCCCACACATTTGTAGGGTCAGCTCTGCCCCACGCATTTTGGGGTCAGCTCAGCCCCACACATTTTTGGGGTCAGCTCGGCCCCACAGCCCCCATTGGCACCTCGCCGCCCCCTGACTGGGCCCCAAAAGCCCCAAACGGCCCCAAAAATCCCCCATAAGCACAACCGGACCCCAAAGCCTCCGCCCCGCCCCCCACCGGCACGGCGAGGAGCTCACTTCCGGCCCCACTTCCGGCGGAAGTGCTGGTGGCGGGACTTCCGGATAAGGGAACCTCGCGGCTGCCATGTTGGGTGTGGGCGGAAGGAGTCCGTAGGGCCCATAGAGCCCCATAGATCCCATAGAGCCCCATTGATCCCATAGATCCCATAGATCCCATAGAGCTCCACTGATCCCATAGATCCCATAGAGCCCCATTGATCCCATGGAGCCCCATTGATCCCATAGAGCCCCAATGATCCCGTAGATCCCATAGATCCCATAGAGCCCTATTGATCCCATAGAGCCCCATAGAGCCCCACTGAGCCCCATAGAGCCCCATAGATCCCATAGAGCCCCATTGATCCCATAGAGCCCATAGAGCCCCACTGATCCCATAGAGCCCCACTGATCCCATACAGCCTTATTGATCCCATAGAGCCCCATAGAGCCCCACAGATAGCCCCATAGATCCCATAGAGCCCCATAGAGCCCCATAGGGCCCCATTGATCCCGGAAAGCCCCACAAAGCCCCACAGAGCCCCATAGATCCCATAGAGCCCCACTGATCCCATAGAGCCCCACAGAGCCCCTTTGATCCCATTGATCCCATAGATCCCATAGAAATCCCATAGAGCCCCATTGATCCCATAGATCCCATAGAAATCCCATAGAGCCCCATTAAACCCCATAGAGCCCCATTGATCCCATAGAACCCCATAGAGCCCCATAGACTCTCACCCCGTGTCCCCAACCTCATCCAGGTGTCCCCAAACCCAGTGCTGTGTCCCCAACCCCATCCATGTCCCCAACCTCGTCACCCCAGTGTCCCCAACCCCATCCATGTCCCCAAATTTTGTGTCCCCATCCCCACCAATGTCCCCACCCCCGTGTCCCCATTCTTTGTCCCCATGTCCCCA